TTTAATTTGCACTTCTATAAAATATTTTTAATATTTTTAGAAAAACCTTCGAGTTTTTCTTATTAAAGTACATTTTAGTAAAATTACCCGTAAAATTTCAGGAAATGCAAGGACTTATCCATTAAATGAGCTGAATTAATATTTTGGTTTGAGTGTAATGCACTTAAAACTGAAAAGCTATCGAATAGTGTTCCAAACAATGTAGAAAAAAGAGAAAATGAGGAAAACAATGTACAATTACAAACAAAAAAATATTTAAAGCAGAAAAAGAGAAAACGTATATTAAAAAAAAAATTAAACTTAAGCAAAAAAAAAAAAAAAAAAAATAAAAAAAATATAAAGTCAAAATAAAATTGCAAACGACAAGTTAATCTCGCTTGAAACATTACCTGAAGCGTTTCTATAATTCTCCATTCCCGCAGTCCCTTGGAAGAGGTGCGTAAAGATGTTCGCAGTCCGCAATTGATTGCAGGACATGACCATTGTTTTCGAGTTGCCCACATAATCAGATGAATTCTTTTTGAATTTTCTTATGCGGAAGACACGAAACGCCCACTAAGCTTATGTTTTCACATTCTGGGGTTGGGGTGGCTGCTTTTAAATGTCCTTGGACCAATTTTATTCTTCGTAATTTTTTTATAAAGAAAATTCACAACCTTTTTATGCTTCATTGAACTTATGTATTTGCCACTGACATCAAACGGAATCCTCTGTGAATCGGATGTGGTGACCATTATTGCATTGCTTGTGAACTCTTATGAATTACATCTGTTTTAAAGCATATGTTGCAAGCGACAAATGTGTCCTATACTTTTTAAAAATATTTTTAAATAACTAAAATATATTTTAAAATAATATAACCAAACTGGTGATAAAAAGGGCGATGTGTCGCTATAAAAAGTAATTCCGAGACATACGCACAATCGAGAAGAAATAATGTGCAATCATACCAAATATAAATAAGAATAATGCAATCATCCTTGCTCTAGCTGTTGTACTAAAATAGCTAAAAGACTGTATCTATATGGATTTTTTGATATTAAAATTGATTGAAATCTGTTCTGATTTAAATTGTTAACAGATATTTCAAAGGTGTTAAAAGTGTATTATTAACAAAATTAAAGCTCTGGAACGAAAATGATCTAAGATAAGATTGAGAGAGGATAGGAAAAGAATAAACGGGGTACTAACTCTCAACGAAGCGGAGCATTGTGACCATGATTGATTTTTTGTGGTGCAACAGACCCTAACCGAACAGAAGACCTTCCGAATGAAGGCCAAAATGTCAGTCATTGAGCATCTCCTTAGCCAGAAGGGGAGAGTAGTTCTCGACCCAGTGACTTAAATTGTTACACTATATGAGTACTTATTTAAATTATTCAACATAATTATTTTTTAAGTTTAAAGGTCCATTATCTATTAACTGAAAAACATATATTAATTTAATAATAAGACTCTGACAAAATGAAAGTTAAGTGATTGGAGAAATAAATCTAACCATGTAGACTATTGTTTCGCAACCTGGAGATCGCGGGGCCGTTAACGAGATCGCGAAACATTAATGAATTAATTTTATAAGAAAAATACATTTACTCGGTATTATAAATTTATAAACATTAAAAAAATTAAAATATTTGATATATTTATTGCCGTGAAATTAGCATTTTATTTATTTTAACTGTTGTGGGGATCTCTAAGGTTTGAAAATCGTTAATATAGACCCTAAGTACGTTTTTGACGAATTAGCATTAGTTTTTCAAAAATTTTGGACTATTTACTTGAGAGTACTTTAATTATTAATAAATAAAAGTATTATAAATTTTTAATCCGCAAGAACCGATTCAGTCAGATAATTCTGGGTCATAATTCTTTGATCACATATTGGATAATAACCGAAAAACATCGCTATTGGTGCGATAATCCAGGTAAATGGCAAATTTCGAAACCAATTTTTCCATATAACTACAAATAAACATCTCTCGATGTCGGGTCACTTCAATCTGAGATAGAAATTGGTCTCGTTATATATTATTAGGTTAACATAAAGTTGTTTCTAGCTATATATTTTATGACAGTTCTGTTTGGATTTCAGCCAGAAGTAAGGTACTAAGGGAAGGGAAGGTACTAATCTTATTTGATATTACGAATTCTTGAACAAGGGACATTCTGGCTTTAATTCAAAATGATGAATGTCTTTTGTTTGATTACAGTCATCTGCAGTAGAATATATGTACTAAAGTCGATATGTTTATACATATATGTGAGTTCGCACAAAAGTTTTTATACTATAATAGAGTAATGGCATGGAGTGTCTTGACTTTGGTACTTATATTCTACTGCGAATGACCATCACCAAAGAAAAGATATATATTTCAGAACTATCCTGAGAGATACTAAAGACTCCAGTCATGCAAATTCTTTTCATTCATGAGTAACTTTTTAATTTCTACAGTGTTTATTCAGAAATAATGAACAGTAATAATTTTTTAATAGTTGATAAAAATTGATGGATAATTTTTCTGTCTGCAACTCTTTAGTTCTTTATGGTTCAAGTTTTAATAACAAGTTATCTCAATAGTATTTCTATTTTTATTTGTTTATAATTAATTCATTGTCACCATTTAGTAAAGGGTTCGACTAATTACCATATCGAATATGAAAATGTTTGTAAAATGTTTATAGCCACTTTATTCAAAGTCAAAGGTAAAATGGAAAGCATATCTTCGGAATACACAACCCTAAATGAGCTGTTAAAAACGTTGAATTTGTTGAAATCAAGAAAGTCGTATGAGTTTCCTCAAATCATTTCATTAATTTAAATATTCAGGACACAACGTCGTATTCAGTAATTAAGGAGGAGCACATGCTAAATAGACATAAGCGCAGATTGAGGTCGTGTAGTTCATCAGTGAATAGATTTAACGTTCGTAAGTGCAATTGTGGAGAGTCAAGAAGCCTCAGGAATGAATATAAATTTTTATCTTGTATCTATGAAGTACAGTTAAATTAACATGTAATTAGCGAATAAATAATTTATTATTTTTAAATACCTGCCTTTGCCATTGGCTGCTCGACGCAATCGTATTTGTGCACGCAACTGTGTGCTCCTGAAATACTCGTCCATGTTAACGATGGACACAAATCCTTGGAATGGCATATTTGCACAATATTTCTACATTCACGTCCGTAATTATAATTAACTTGTCGGCTGTGTGCAATAAACTAATGTTTTATGGCTAATTCATTCATGACCAAAAGCCTGACAACATATAATGTATTTGACACATTATAATGAGGCTTCGGCTGCAGTCATATGGTACACGCAATGAGCTTTGAGTTGGCGCCGCGTTTGCCTTTGGTTTTTTATTGACTGAGTCAGTGGATGAGCGATAAGGTTTTGGGAAAATTCTGTGCTATTTAATTATGAAAACAAGATTTGTGTAAAAGCATAATGTGTTGGGATTTTAATTTGAGAAAATGCTTTGTTTACGCGAAAATATTCCAATTAACCATTATATTATATATAGTATTCATGTATTCTATAATTCATCAGTGTAATATATAAGAAAATATAAATTTTAATGATAATGTAATTAAATACGTACTATAGTTAAATGTATTATAAATGACTTAGGCATTGTAGGTTTCCACGATTTCTGTGCGGGGTTAGCTTCAAATATTGCTATTTTGAGAAACGCCAATTTTTAAAAATAACATAGGTAAGCCATAAAGGATCGGGCTAAAAAAAGTCTTTAAATAAGGTATCTAAAAGGTTAATCTCAAAAACTGAAAAGTCAATAGAAAACTAAAAGTAGCATAGCGATTGTCATCAATCGATTAGTATCAACACTACATATAGGAATAATGATCTTAATCAAAATTTAAAAAAAAGACCGATCTCACTTTTAATTAAATACATGGTTATGTTATCTTAGATATTTTTTAAACATTGGTTAGGAATCTCTGTGTGTGTGTAGTTATTAACCTCTCGTTCATTTAATATTTTCACTTCCTTTGTTAGTAAACCACTGGTTAGTAAAACACAATTATTTTAATATTCCAGATGAACAGTTGTTAAACTGATTGCTATTTCATTGCCCTCATTGCCCCCATATCCTAATAAGAGTAACAAAGTTCCTGGATTCTAGAGTACTGAGAAATTAAAAGCATTTCCGCTCCAACTTTGATTGGAATGAAGAGTTTGGTAAAGATTTGAGAGCTGCTTGGTTGTCCGAAAAGAGTATTTTTTTACAGAATTTTATTTAAAATTTAAATTGACAATAACATGTTTGCTGTGTGCTGGATTATTAAATATAAAAAATTATAAAAATTTATGTTCCTTAAAGATGGAACAAACTTATAATGGAGTAGTATTTTCGAATACTACTCCATACATACATACATATGTGGGAATTATTCAAAATTAAATTTAAGTAGTCAAAAAAAAAGACTTTATTAGTTAATGATGTACTTTAAACACATTGAACGTAATATGTATATTTAAATTGAAAATATTTAAAATATAATAACATATTACATTCATTTTATTAATATTTATATTATAGTTTTCATTAACTTCAAAATAAATCCATAACATTTCACAACAGTCAGAAATTTAGCAAATACAAGAACCGTGATCACTTCATCTTTTTTGTTTCTGCTATCTGTCATGAAAAGTGTTGTAAAATGGGCTAATGATCACTTTTGTGTGCTATATAGAAAATAGTTTGCTTTTTCTGTTACGATGCAATAAGGATATTTTATTGTTAACTAAATAATGCATATTAATTATTTTATTAGTATTACTATTTCTATAAATGTATATGCACATTCAATTTTTATTATGAATTAAAAAATAATCAGCAATAGATAAAACGTTAAACTGTTCAACACTACTTTAGTGTTTTTCTTTTTGTATGCATTCTAAACAATTGCTTTTTTCAGCTGACTGTGAGTTTTGGCGCGATAATTTGACATATTGTTAATAGTAATATATTTTGGCCAATATTTATGGGAAGCAATTACTAAACGATTTTGCTTTTACTTTAAAATCTGCAGAAAATTTAAATTGTGTTTGTGTTTTTTTAATTTAAGTGAAATATGTCTATTTTATTAGCAGACATTGATGCAACTTGTGCTGCTTTGGGTTATACTGATAAAAATCAGTACCATGCAGAACCAGATGCTATTCTTGGGCTCAAAGTAAGTTTACTGCAGTATATATTATTTTTAATATTAACACATTGATTTCTGAATCTTATTAGCATCTTATATGGATTCTCAGACGTGATTCGGAAACTCATGAATATCGTCGCCACATAGGACATTCTAAAGTGCTACGAACTGATTTAGTGTACATGTTGTGTGATTATGTCCAAGATGATGAATATGCTGATGTGCTAATACGTTTGTTGGTAATATTAACAAATCCAACATTGCTATTGTATCGTGATGGACCTCCAAAAGATAATCATTCGCGAAAAATATTTATGGAATTAATTGATATATTGCAAACTTATAAAAGTGCATTTACCAACGAAATAATTTGGACCGCCTTATTTAAGAAACTAAAAAAAGGATTGCAAACTGTAAGTAAACAATTAAATTAAATAATAATTCAAATATATTAAATATGTAAAAATGAGCGAAAATGATGAAATATTGTAAAACAAAGCGCATTAAGAAGATAGCTTATAAATATATAAGTGATGCTGTTGTCATGATAATCCGTGGTTATTTATATGTATACATGTGTTAAGACATATTTGGGTTAAGGAAGTGTGATATTGAAAGGAACTATACCATGTATAAGTGATTATTTTTATTGCGGTTTAGCTGGAATAGTTCCTTCGATTTCAGTGAAAATTTCATCAAAGTGGGTAGCGATATTAAATCGCCAAGTATGACATATGGTTTTGGGACATGGAATAAATATTTATTCTATTGCTAAATAAAATATGCTCAATGGTTTCAAGAATGGCTGTATCTACGTCTTGAAGCCACTCGTCAAACACGATGGCCAAGGATCGTTCACCAACCCCAAAGAGATTTTACAAGCAGATCCTAGCGGGTTACATCAGCAACAAAATAAGTTCATTATATATCTTTATTTTATTTTATAAATATTTGAAAATTATACTGTCAGGAATAACCATATATAGTCCTCAGGCCCGTTTACATCTGGAATCGTGTAATTTATATCTTGAAGTGGTACAGATATTTCAATAATTTAATTAAAACACATTGGTTTGTTTTTGTTTTAATAATTAAAGCATAAATAAAAATAAAAATTTATTTATTAATATATTTTTGTTCACTGAAGTACAAAATTTGACAGCTGTTGCCACCGATACTGGCGTGAGGGCTATTTCATTCCCCACCATTATTCTGCCGAAATCCATTGTTCTTTTCCGCACTTAAAACTTTGTTTTCTTTAATTATGCGGTATTTCGTAATTATAATCAATCGTTCCAAAAATTACGAAATAAATTGAAGTGCTCATATAATTTAAATTTAAATGAAATTCCACATATGAAATGACATTCTTCTAAGGCATAATTTGTTCTTATTAAACCGAACAAGACGAAAAGTTTCCACACAATACGCCTTACATTAATCTGCGTAATTTCGTATTTTAAAACTTTTCCATTCAAAAGCAAACTTTACAATGAAATACGAGAGCAACAATAACAACAATTTACGCGACCTGTCCCTCATAAATGTTAAATGCCTACAAGCCACTTTACAATGGCAATGCGCAAACAATCCGAATACTAATTTCTTGGTTGAAGGAACGAAAAGAAATGCTTGTACAAGGACGATTGAGGATAGGAGTTTGAGGCGCCGCTTACTGTGTCGGTGAATATTGTTTGCCACTAATTTGGTTAAGCCACAACTTATTCGATTTTAAAAGTATCAAGTGCTGGGCATGTGGGGCAATGAGTGATGCTGCTGTTTCTTGCCAGCAAGGACCCACACTCTTCGACGTGTGCCATTTAGTAATGTTTTCGTAACGAAACATTTGATGAAATTTTGAAATCTGAATTAAACGAACGGGAATCTGAAATCAGAATTCAAGTGACGTTTGCGCTTATCGTGTAAATTGTGAGGAGTTTATTTGAGAAATGCTTGAAAGATACGTTTACGACGTGAGGTTTGTTTGAATGTGACACTCGAAAGGTAACAGAACTTATGCCAAGGCTAGGCATACGGACCGGTATATGCTAAATGTAGCCATGTTTTGAAATTCATTGTGTTTTGGTTACGCTCGTGGCTATCGGAGAATATTTTTATTGTTGAATGCTAAGTTGAATTTTAAGCGTGTCGCTCTGGTTTTATCAAATACCCCCAAGGTTGCTAAAAGTAATTTGAAATGTCTTCGTATGACTCCTTAAATATGAAACGAAAACAATAAAAAATAGAAAGAACTTAGTTTTTAATATTTTCATAATAATAATTTCGAATTAAATATGGATCAGTAATTTTGTTGTAATTCTATGAGACATTAATATATATATATAATATATAATATATATATATATATATATATATATATATATATATATATATATATATATATATAAACATATGAACATGTTTTAAAATAGCTTGGCATCTTATTATTTTGTTTTGCGGAGATATCGAAATGTTAAATTTAACGTTGAATATGCTTTTTAAATGGTTTTTGTTAAAATTATTCTTTCATTTTTTAAATGCTGTTAGCTGGCACTTTACGTTTTCTTTATTTTAATGTACATATGCGTGAGTAAATTGAACCGGCTTGTGCGAATTTGGTAACAACAATTCAGTAGTACAATTCATAAGAAAACTAATATTTTCCATATGAATTAATAATGTTAACGATGTTTTTTTCCTATTTACTTCAATTTAATTTTGTAATACTGTGAAATATTAGCTGACACTTTGGTTGCATTTTTTTGCTTGTTTTTAGTGCTGTTATTGTATATGCAGCCATTTGCTTTTACGTATTTTTTTAAATTTCAGACTGCCCCTGTTTATTGTTCTACCAAAATAGAGAGATTTTTATTTAAGTTATTTTTATCTAATTTTCCATTTATAACATTTTTACTTATTTATATCTTTTAAATTAAATCTATCTTAACTGATCTTAGCATTAAATATTGCTCTCAGTATTCTGACTTCTTTGGATGTTTAAGACTGTTTTACGACCCATATATAATATTGTAGTTTAAAGAAGAAAACGGTGTTACATCGTAATTAGTTGGAAGTACATTATTATTAGAATTTATATAACTACCTATACATATATATCTAAATTTATCTCTGAGCTATAAGACCCATAAATATAGATGTTGTATGTTATCTGGTTATTCTATGATTAGTTTTAGTAGCTTGCAAAACTGTTTGGAAATTAATTCTTATAGAATTAAGATTAATGGCTACTTTCTTATCAATATCGATTTATTTTTTATCAAAAAACACATTTTAGTGCTGTGAAATAGCAATATATTAATATTATTCATTAAGGTAATAGGGGTAATAGCAACATTTATGTTCGAAAGTATATAGGAGTGGGGAGTAATTTTATAATTTGTCCAAGAAAAAAGAAGTTAAAGTTGTTGTGAAGGCATATTTTTAAAAACTGCTTATTACAATTATAATTACTTACATTAATTATAACTAGTGATAATAATAAAACTTTTTAGTAATAATTCTAATACTTATAATAACAAAACTTATCATAATCAATGCTTATTGGAAGTAATATTAAGCCATGAATATTTAAAAATTATTGTTTTCTAATAACACCAAGAAATAGCAGATGCTACAAAAATAATACATAGGCCTAAAGTTTGATAAAACAGTTAGACAAATCGTTGATAATTGGGGATGAAACGATCTCTTCAATATTGTAATGGCACCCAATTTTTATCATTAAATACAGCATACTTAAATGCATATAATATGAAAATAAGAAATATATGTTATGTAGATTCTAGATGGTAGCAAATATCTAGCTACTTAGCTGAATAATTTTCCTTAATTGGGGGTGTCCGTAAAGAAAATTACCACTGCCGAAGATGTATACCACTGTCTTTTCTCTAATAGAAACTTTCCGCTGGACATATTTTATATAAATTAATTCTAAATATTTTTATTCATTTAGCTGAGGACTCTATTTAAAAGTCACATAAAATAGAACCTCCGCTAAAATATATTAATAAATAATTGAATATATAAGATACATTTTATTAATGTTAACAATAAATTTTTTTTTAAGACAATGTAGGTCTGAGAGAAAAAATAATCAGTTAAGCACTTGTGATTCGGTTTTTAAATTATTTTTGTTCATAAAAACTTTATTTAATTTAATTTATTATAAATCTGCAACTATAAATTTATCGGGGTCCAGGTTCGATTGTTTAAAACACTCTAGGGACTAATAGTAGAGTAATTTCCAGTTATTTATTTTGTTTCTAGCTTTTTCTATGGTACAAAAAAAAAAAAAATAAACAATTATTTAGGCTTATGTTGCGTATATATTACGGGTATATACATATGTATGTAAATATGTTTATATATGTATTTTGGTTGATAAAAAGCTTATGTAACAATGTGTTGAATTTACATGCTGCTGAGAGAGGGGTGGCTGGCTGTTATCAAAAACGCCAGTTGTGCTATTAAATTTTAAATGTTTTTTCGAAAAGTCGCTCCCCACTCCGTTTGTTGCGCGGAATGGTGTATTAGTTCAGTTTCGATATAAGCCATCGGCATTAAGCATGACATTCCAGCACTAGCGATTCCAATGGAGGAGCTTGATAAAAAGTAAATTGATTTTAACTTTCAATTTATAACGATTACTTTTAATGGCAACATTTGTTCTGCTTAAGACCGCTCTAAGTCCTTGTATTGAGCTTTTTATATAAATTTCAATTGCGTTTAGTCAAATTTTATTGTTCGTTCTTGTTTAGGAGCTCAAAATATTTTATTCTACAACTGTAAGACTAAAATGTCTCGTTGTAATTTCTTTTCTTTCTTTGCAACTTTAATTTATTTCCATTTTATTTGAAAATTCATTTGGAGTGATTTTTTGCAGGATTGGGCGTTGCGCAGCGAGGAGCAAAATCTACTGATTGAACGTGTTCTGGTGTTGTTACGCAATGTGCTTCAAGTGCCTTCGAGCCCTGATACGGAGTGTCGTGGAGACAACGATGCTAGCATACACGATCAAATAATTTGGGCTTTGCATCAATCCGGAATTTTAGATTTAGTTTTGTTTGTGATTTCCTCATCCGACGAACATCAATTTCATTTGCATTGCCTAGAGATTATATGTCTGCTTTTCCGTGAACAGGTGAGTACTTTTATTTTTCTCTATAAGTTTGGTTTTATTAGATTTAGAAATAAAAGCTGTAGTTTATATATTTAACAAAAAAAAAATTTATTTTTATCTACAATTTTTTATTTAAAAGAGTAATGTATCGAAAAAAAAATAATGTATAAGCTTTTTGCTTCATTGATGACTTTAACTTACGATTACTTTATGCATTACAGTCAGCGGAGTCCCTGGCGGACGCATTACTGCAACGCAGTGCAAGTGAGAAGCAACGCGACGAACAGGAATTGTTGGCAGCACGGCGACGTGAGAAACAGCATTGTGTGTCAAAACCTCCACCAGGAAGACACTCACGTTTTGGTGGCACATATGTAATACGAAATTTCAAATCTGTTTCTGATCAGGATATTATCTGTCATCAGCCACTAGAACGTGTTACGACCATTGATTTTGATCGGGAAAAGGAGCAGCAAAAGCGGTCTTTTCGTCATGTGAAAGAAGAGGCACAAATAGTTCGGCGTAGTGCCTTCTCTGTGCGGTAAGTGGAAGCTTATTTTAGTTGTAGAATTTAATAAAGATTTTGTTTAGTTTTTTAATTTCATGGTTTTCATATGGTTTTTTAATTTCAACTATATGTTTATAGTTTTTTATTTACAAACATATGTGTGTTATTTGTTATTAATTTTAGAATTTTTTTGAAGAGAATGATTCAATATAACTTATAAATTAAATTAAAATTTTGTGCAATTTAAGTTGCAATAGAGTTACCATATGTTTACAATTTAAACACAACCAAAATATATATGTAGTTTTATTTAAGAAAAAAAAAACTGTCGACCAACGCTGACAACCATTTACGCATTTACTTCAATCTCGAACTGTCAATAAATCAAAAGTGAAGAAGTGATAGAGGAATTATAATGTTACCAAATATATTGGTTTCATCATTACTGCTTTTCTGTTTTTCCTTAATGGTCCATGGTTCCTATATATATGGTACCATATATATGTAATTTGGACTTTGTATATTTTCGTTTTGTGTATTTTTCGTTTTTTTAATGTCGTAGAAAATATCGCTGATATACCTCCACATATTATTCTGAATTTGAGGAGGGATATGATCGGAACTTGGGATATGAAAGCGTTGTTTCAATTATGCAGTTATTGATAACTGTAAAAAGTCTTTTTTATATATCCAGAAAACCTTTTATTGGTTAAAAAGCATTGTTTAAAGCGTCTAAGACATTTGAGTAGTACGATATACAGTCAAACTTCCATAACTCGAACTTCTATAACTTGAATGTTCTATAACTCGAACCAAAAACAGTGCACCAAGGTGTTAGAGAGCAAATTACATACACTTCTGTTTCCATAATTCGAACTTCTATAAATCGAACAAAAATTTTGATCCATGCCGTTAGAAATATGGGAAAGTGCATTCTATAAGTCGAATTTTTATTTTAAGAATCAATTTATTTTAGTGTTAGGAGAAGTCCCTTTTTCTAAACCAAATGTTTGATTTTTTTTTCTTATGTTGTTTCTTTGTGCAAATGCCAGCCGCTGGTTGCGTGGTTTAAAGTAAATAAAAATAACTTCTAATGCTACTCTTAACGATTATATTGAGCCGGACAATGAAATTTGTACATCAAGCTTTTCTACAGATGACGATATTATTGAACACTATAGCTCTAAATTACTGGATCCAATTCTAAGCGCAACGGTGATGATGAGGGTTCGGTGGATGTAAGTGTTCAGCTTTCCAAGAATGAAGTAGCAGACTCATTCAAAATTCTGAATTTATATTTGCAAACCAATGATACTACAACTGATGATCACTATAAGAGTTTCAATCAAGTGAAATCTCTTTTTACCAAAAATAAGAAAAAAAATAAAGTCCCAAACCTTAATTTCTGAATATTTTACTTCACTATAACTTCTGTGCTTTATTTGATTGCAAATAAATAAATATCTTAAAATGTGATTCTAGTTTCTTTCAAATATAAAAAAATTCTCTAACTCGAAGTCTCCATAAGTTGAACCTTTTCTTTGCAAAATTGGACTTTGAGTTATGGAAGTTTGACTGTACTTATATTAAATTTCCAAACGGGTGTACATAACTAATATGTATTTTCTAATAGCTTTCTATATATATTGCAAATTACAGTGTCCTGTTAGCAATTCCGTGTAGAGATTGATATATGTTCTTCTGAAGTTAAGAACAGCTTCAGCCTTTATTTGTTTAGACATAATAAGCGTTGATCATTGAGAAACATTCATTCGAAAATTCCTGCACTTCATTTAAAAATTGGTGTATTTAGTGAAGAAATACCGTCGCATAATTAACGTTATTAGAAAATAAGACAGAGCATCCTATAAAAGTACAGAAACATTAAATTCTTTAGACGCGATGCAAAGCATATTTGTGGTTGATAAGTTTTAAATAGTTGACTCGTGAGAGATGAAATACTGCATATAAAACTTGATTCATTGATGAAGATATAAAAATTGGTCGCTATTATTCTATTTACTGGATAAAGTTCTTGGAACTAGAAATGTTCAATAATGTTAATTAAACATTTCGATTTCTAGAACTAGAAATGTTTAATAACGTTAATTGAACCTTTTTAGTGCTAAGTCTAGTTTAATAGTTTATAACTTAAATTGATATATATTTGCTTTAATATACCAGTTAAAAACAGGCAACATCCACCGAGAGTAAGAGTTGGTGACATCGTGATTAATTGGGAGGATAGTATTAAATACTTAGGTATCACGTTTGATAAGCGATTCACTTAGCATAAGCATATACAAGTCAAAAGAAGCAGTTGCGCTAAAACACTGCAATACTTACAACCACTTTTCAAACACAACAATCTTAGCGTGAAGAACAGAAAAATGATCTATATCCAGATAATTAGACCAGCATTACTTTATGGGTGTGTCGCATATAGCAAAACTGCCGACTCTACTATACAAAAGCTACAAGTCGCTCAAAGTCATGCTCTCCGAAGACTCTTCAAAGTGCCTTGGTACATCCGCACAAACGATATGCTAAGAGACCTTAGAATAGACCCGATCAAAAAATACATAAGGAACAGAGCCCTGAAGTTATATGCGAAAATTGACAGACTATCCTACTTACCACTATCTGATCTTAGAGTAATCAGTCTCCGCACGGGGAGGTACGCAGATCTTAGATCAATAACTGAATAATCATGAAGCTTATGAGAGATATACAAATTCGTCAATGAGATGGGTGGGACCCTGTAGTACCCCCAGCTATCAAAGAGTAAAAGTGTCCAGTTGCGCTGACTCGAAAAAATCAATCAACATACCAGTTAAAATACAGAACTTAAAAAAATGTATGAGTCATTCTTGTTACTGTAATATTTCTTAAAATTTTGCATAGTTTGTGATATCTTCCAAAACCACATATTAACGTCGACCAAGTTCCACTTAAAAATTTCATGGAAGTTTAACCGCTCGTGTGAAAGGTGAATAATGCCGTCATTAATAAATTAATTTTTTTTTTATAATTTTTCAAAAACATATTTTATTAATAAAAGCCATATTGTCTGAATACATCCTAATATATTAATTCAAGTAATGCATATATACGATTACATACATACGATTACAGTGTAAAATGTACCTTTTTTATTTACGAGTATTATATTATTCGCCTATCCGGGATAGTTAATCTGAGATGAATGTTCGTCTGTGAACTTAGCTTAAGTCATTTTCTGACATTTTCACATTCTAAAATACACTTAAGTATCTATAATGCAATATATTTTCCTATTGCAAAAAGTAACAAATTGTTTCTTCTTCAAGCAGATCTCATAAAGATGTGTATATATAAATACTTTTTTATGTATTTTACACATCAAGATGAAATAAAATTTTTTGGAATTTTGTTGAGGGAGTTTGTTGAGTTTTTTTTTTCAATTATTTTAACACAATGTAATGTGAACATTGCAAATTTCAATGTGATTTATTTTACCCTTTTATTCAATCAGTGCTGTAGTTACTTCACAACCGACGGATGCCAAGGAAGATTAATCCTGTATCACATACGCTTAAAAATGGCTTCCATATGCTATGCAACAGGAGTGGAATTGTGCTGTAGCAGCAGCAAGCCAGCACGCAAAACTGATACAAAACTCTGCCAGAGCCACGTGACATTGATGAACTTTAGTGATGTCGCCTGTTGGTTCTCTTGATATGCATCAGTTGAAGTGTTTTATTTTTCGTTTCGTTTTCTATCCCGTCGTGAATTTCAAACAGTTCAAAAGTGTTCGCAATGTTGAAGTAAGTAGTATTACCTAAACAACATACGCCACCGCACGTCCATAGAGGCAAGTGCAGAATAGAGGCAAGTGCAAATATTCAAAAGACATACTCGTAAACTTCCAGATTATATTTATTGATTTTATTTTCGTTCTGCGCCTAAAGATCCGTAATTACATTGGAAGCATATACTAATACTGTGCACTTTTATTCACTTTAATTTTTAATTCGATTTCAAGTTTATACGTTTAACCAGACAAGTTGAATCCCATGGCTATAATTTTTCGACTTTCAAACAAACAAGCTAGACTATGTATGCACTTTATAAGGATTCTTCGGCTCGAAAAGGAAAAAACATTCTTTCTGATCAATAATAAAAAAAAAAAAACAAAAAAATTACGTAGTACTCTTTATAAATTTTTAGTATTTGTTCTATAAAATGTTTACATTGGAGTGAGAAAATATAGTGGTATATGTTGAGGTAAACATTGTTCATACTCCAATAAAGTGTTTTGAAAAATGGGATAATAACTTTAATTCCATAAAATAAAATCTTAAAAAAATTATTTAAAATTCTAATATCAAGAAATAATGATTATTAAAGTCTTATATAGACTAAAGTTAATAAGTGTATTGATGGTATCAGATATGCTAATGAAAATCTTTTACTTAATAGCAAAATTAACTAATAGAATTGCATAAGGCGATTAAAACCCAACTTAATCCTTACTTTAACGCACTTTGTATTAAAGATGTTTATATCGGAATTTACTCAACTATTAACTATTTAGAAGGTTAAATCGCTCTTGAAAGACTGCAAAAAAAATTTTTTTTGAAACACAATTCTTTAACACTGTCCATATTGGTATCACCCGAATTTATAGTGTAGACAGCATTTCATCAAGTAAAACGATGATATTTATGCAAGAAAAAAATTCTTGCCATAAGTCCCAGAGTTTGATATATATATTTTGGAAAAAATTTTTAACGAATATAATGGGTCGAAGAAGTTGTTTGAAAAACGAATACAGTTATATTTTCGATTTGTAATAACTTAGAAAGTATAGAAATTTATAACAACATTCTATTTGCGTAACTTAATAAATGTTACTACTATTATATCTGAAGCATTACGCTATAACTTACTAATTTCTTCAAATATTTAAATACTCGTAATTGTAATTTTTATCAAACATTTTTATATAAAGAAAGAATCATAACAATCTTTACTCCCCATATCTATACAAGTAATCCGAACATATCTTAAATAATTGAAATATATTGATCTTGGTTACAACATATTCACACGACATTGCGGGATCTAGATTAAATTGGAATTTATGCAAAATTTTTATTGATTTAATCGGCAATCAATTTTTTAATAAAAATATAGTTAAACGCACTTGAAGTTTTAAAATAAAATCTAAAGGCATAGTTATTCATGTTATTTTAATAGGCTGTTACAGAGTAAAAACGATAGAAATAAAAATTTTTGCATCAGAATTGTATTAAAAGGTGTTCTCTCCACTAATTCTAATAGAAATATCTAATCCAATCTACATAATGTATAATCCAATGTTTTTTAAGTGTTCAACTCCACTATGGAAAGGACATTCAGAAGACGTAATTCTCAAATTACGTTATAGTGAAACCTTTTATGCGTTCACATTTACGTGTGTATCTGATACATCGTATATTGTAATAAATTTTATTACGATGTTTATCTAAGACAATGTACTGCATAATGTAAAAGGCATCATTAATTTCAAAATAAAAAACTATTAGAACTATCCAGCAATGCAAAAGTCGCGGGAAAGACTACAGAATCTGTATTTTGTGATGAGAAGGTTAGTGCATATATGCATAAACTTTAAAAAATCATTAATAGAAAATATCTCTCATCGTTGTGGGTTGCTTAAAACAATAAAAGCTCCAAGAACGGCACCTAATAATTAAAGAAAATCCTTCGCCATTACAAGTTGATAATAAGTATAGGTTGTTGTTGTTGCTGTTGTGGCCCATGGGGACCTCAAAAGCAGATAATATGAAGGAATCACATGAAGAATATATGTGTTATAAAGTGGTTGGGTAATGGTTAAGTGAGGATGAGGAGCTAGTTGTAATAAGGATAGGTAAATTATACGAACTGCACTTAGAATTACTTGTCCACCAATTCTAATCTATAGATTTAAACTCTAGACTACGAGATTGCTTACTTCGGGAAAAGAAGTTTGGTTTACATTAAAAAGTGATTCCAAAAGCTTGAAAGTGTGCTAGTATTCCATAAAGGAAGTGCATAAATGTTAAAAAGTGTTTGAATAGATATATATTAGTGGAAGAACATTTGAATCAACATTTGAAGACAATAGTTTTTTAAGCAAACAAATAGCTAAGTAATAATAATTCTGTGATGACGTTGAACGTGCCTATGTAGGCAGACAAGTGCTGGTAATTGGCTAATCACTTCTAATTAGTTGAGATTATCAACTGAAATTGTTTATATAAATTTGAATTCTTAATTTTAATTGATTATATACCTGCCTTTTTTTCATACTGCTAGTCGATATTACCAATCGAATTATTCAGGTTTACGGTTTATTCGGAAAAGTTGATCAAGCAACTGTATATATCTAAATTATTTTTGCGCCCTTTCATCCAATTTCTAGCTACTCTACTGTGTAGTAGAGAAGCTTTGGTACATTATCCTATGTCTTTTCTTTTTTTCATGTTTTGAACTAAACTTGATGTTGATCTAACTGTAGTTGCAAGCAGATACAACGACCTGTATAAATTATCTTTAATACGTCAATAATATTTATATATTACTAAATCATTTTTCATTTTCTGATTGAAACTTATTTTAAAATTTTACGATTTTTTTATTTTAGAGATTTTAATTAATTATTTGAAAACAGTTTAGTTTAAATTTAAATTACAACTTTTTATACCAAAAATGTATCTTAATTGTAAATGTATCTTAAGCTCCAGGATATATTATAATCCTGTGCAGGTGTCTGGTCAACAAATTCAATTAGAGTGAAAATGTGTTTTAATCCTTTTTGTTGTGAAAATGCAAACCTTCAACATTTCATTATTCATATCAATTTAAAGTTAATGAAAATGACAATTAAATATCAGATACTCGTACAACATCAATTAGATAAGAAATTGAATTTCAGTTTAAAACTGAAATAGCTCATAAAATCTAATCAAATAATTAGATCTGATTCGTAAAACTTATATTGGCTTTGTATTTGCAAGCAAATATTCCTTGTTGTTTGTATATTTGATTGAAGTTTGAGGAAGCAACAAAAAATGTTATGTTGCTCTTAATTAAAATAATCGCCACACAGTCATCTAACCACAACTGGTAAATCAATGAGAAACCTCTTTTATTATTTCAACAGTTGGAATCTGCTTTTATTTATCAAATCAAACAATCATTCTAATAAAAGCTTACCATGCAAATGGCTGCTACACCTCTCCTTAGTGGAAAGGCGGGTGCATCCAACTTTGGTTGGATGGTTGGATGGTTGGACTTCACTTCTCAGGTGGTTAGTTTAATCGATTTGCGCTTTATACGAGTATTTATTTTTTGCTGTTAATATTTCTCACAGGATATGTTTGTTTTTAATTTTAGTTTGTGTCTGCGTGAGTACTGCATTGAGGTTTTGCGGTCAGCTTACAACACCTTCGTCCGTCAGGTGAAACGTGTCGTGGAACGAAATTCTGGTTCTACTAGTCACGACGACTCTTATCTGCTATGGGCGATACGTTTTTTTATGGAATTTAATCGCTTGAATGGTCTTCAATTGGAGCTCGTGAGGTAAGTTAATTCAATGAACATAAAAGTTATTTAACAATGAATTGCTAAAAATAATAGAAAAATTGTGTAGTGTTTACAGGTTTGCTTGTAGTGTCCAGGTAACATATTTACTTTGAATAATTGGAAGCTAATATTATGATTAGTAAAATTTGTTCTATTTAAACTTGATATGAAGCATTCCTGATAATAATTGAAACAATATATATAAACTTGTCATTATGGTTTATAAAAACATTTGTAAAAAAATTATAATATTTTGTATTCTTATATATAATTAAGTGCTTATATCAGAATCATTTTACTTGCTCGAAAAAAAATACCTTTACTTTACAAATTATTCTACATTTCTATATATCTAAAGTGTATGTAAAGAGATGTCATCTAAGTACCTAAACAGCAAAAATGTAATAATTCCGCGAAATTGCAATTTAGTCTATGATGGATTCTCTGGACTCAGGATATTTTTACCAAGATTATTCAACGTCCTACAAGAAATTCTGGGCACATGCTTTGAGTCTAGTATTGATTCTTCATGTTCACAGCCCCGGGTCGAGCTCAGCTGCCTGTTATTTGTTACCATTCATCTTGCTCACGGTCTTTCTTCTTCTTCTTTCTGCTTCTTGTTCTCTACTTTTAACTGTACTTATTAGTTATGGTATTATTATGGTATATAGTAAAATATTATAAAAACAATATAGCATCAGTAGTTGTAGAATAAATGTAGCGTTATGAAGTCGAGTGAGTAGAGAGGTAGTAATAATGTGAATAAAATATTAAACAGATAAAAAAATATTCCTTCATTGAACAATACAGAATAAAGAAGAACAATAATAGTATAATTATTGTAGTATAGAATATTTAAAAACAGTGATAGGAACTTCATCAAATTGATTTACTTGTCAGCTTCAGAGTGGTTAATAATAGTCTGTAATGAATCATTCTAGCAGACCATTGATCTGTAACTATGTTCTCTTTGCAATTAACTTAATTAATTTACAGAAGTTCACAACTGTTTAACAGAAGTCTGTTTTAACTAGTTTTCCATATATGTATATTACATTCTCTTATTGGTCATAATCATATAATTGAACATATAATCATAGTAATCATATAAAGTGGGCTATTGGTAGATTTATATGTTTTTTTTGGGAATCATCTATGTTTGATTTCTATAAAGTTTAATAATCTTTCCACTTCCAATTACTCATTATTTGATATCAAACAATTTTGATGATCCTACAAGTTATCGTTTTCTAGTTAAGATTTAATTCAGAATCTAGTATAGAGTTTAACGGTTTGTGTTACGCTGCAGCTGACTTTTAAAATTATATACTAAAAGTAATTTAGAGTAGTTGTTAGTTGATTTTAAAATTTTTTTTTTAAATTATTAAGAGTTGTAATAATACTTCGGCCTAAGGAAGAAGTCAAACAAACTTCGAAATTTTGACGATAGTTATATAGACCTCTATATAATAATAAAGACAAAAATAAAAACTAATCCGTAAGCTTTTATTTTTTCTTTTATTCATTTTTTATATATTGAAATCTTGAAAAGTAAAAACCGAAGGTCCTATAAACTCTACATATTTTTGATCAGTTCCATTGAATCTACAGGACCAAGTGTTGTCTTTTTAAATGTTTACAAATCTTCTTGTCATATCTTGTCGTTTTGTTTGTTTATATTTTTCGACTCGTCTTAGTTTTTAAATGAAGTTTTGATGTTCAAGCTTATGAGTTTCCGTTTCCTCATATTTATCTCTATTATATATAAATTTTTGGTTATACAGTCAAACTTCCAAAGAAACTTCCAAAGAAAAGGTTCGATTTATGGAGACTTTGAGTTAGAGAATAGTTACACTTTAAATTTTGAATTACTCCCTGATCAAGTAGTTGCAATTTAGTAGTCATATTTGGAGAAATTTGGAGAAGAAAGGCCAATTTTATGCATTTGCACAAATGCTAGCGACTGGCATTTGCACAAAAAAGCATCATAAAAAAGAAAAAATTACATATTTGGTTTGGAAAAACGGACTTCCCCTAACACCAAAATATATTCATACGTAAATCAAAAATTCGATTTATAGAATACACTATCCCATATTCCTATTGGCACGTGTCAACATTTTTATTCCAGTTATAGAGAATTTCGAGTTATAGAAGTTCGACTTATGGAAGCAGATTTGCATGTAATTAGCTTTCTAAAACCCTGTTGTACTCTTTTTAGTTCGAGTTATAGAAAATTCGAATTATAGAAGTTCGAGTTATGAAAGTTTGACTGTATTTTCAAAACAAAGTTTTTCGTCACTGAGTTGCACAAATGAAAATCTGTATATAGGAATGGATTCCAGTTCAACTATTGTTTGTGCCGATATTTTAGCCTTCATCCGGAAGGCGGAATGTCTTCTTAGGATCAGTTATAGCACAAAAGATCAATCATGATCGCAGTGCTCTGTTCAAATGGGAGCTAGTACCCCGTTCTTTCTTATCTTATGGTTTACTGTGCTTGAATAATATAAATACTACCAAATCGATTTCTATTCGATATCGTGTGGTAGCATCATATCTTTTTTCTTGTCGATAAATGGAACAACGTTTTTATGTATCTTTCAGTCTTCAATGTTTTGGACTTATTTTCTTATAATTTTGTAAATGTATATATAGAAAAATAACATTGTGTTTGTAAACAAATTCCAAACATTTCCGTCTGCAATAGTTGAGCCGTTTTTGTAATTTGAAAATATAATTTCTCACAATTCATTGCCTTTAAAAATTTTCATCCCAGTAATTTGTTCCTTTTCTGATAAAAACTTTTCATTTTTCCACTTTCTTTGTTGAAATTTTACTAGAAATTTTCGTATATTTTTCTCGTTGAAGATGCTATTTATTTTTGCGAAAAATGCACTATTTTATGAAAACGTTGGAGTTTTTTTTATTAACTGTGCTGGTTTCTTACAAATTAGTTTCGTTGAATGGCAAGAATGTCGCTTAACAAAAATTTTGTAATATCATCGGTTCTGGCTGAGCTCCTTTATCAACTGCTAAAGTGTTTTTCCTTTTATATTTGCCTGTCTAAGAAGTTTGAGAGTAAAACATCCAACGAACGAAAATGATAATAGATTTATTGCTTTACGAAATTAACACCGCCCCTAATACCTAGGATTCATCGATTTTCTGTTAAAGTATTATTTCCATTATTATTCCATTTATGCTTATTTTATGCTTTTTAATCATGACGGCAAAAGTCACTTCCTTGGTAAATTTTTTAAAATGCGATACTTTCTAAATATGTTTGAAATTTTTTCTATATGTTTAAACTGATTTTATGGTTTTTCGTTGCAGTGAATCTTTAAGTGTGCAATGTTTCCATTGGGTTCTAACGCGTATGCAGCACGACATGGACATGATTGTGAGTGATAAGAAACAGGCGCGTGTCTGGGCCAAACGCTTACAAATCGGGCTTCAGGTGAGTTAAAAACTTCTTATTTGGCACGTTCAGCTTACGACTTAACTAGAAGCATGGTCTTACTCTTTCGAATGAATGAGTGCAAAATGCTCGTTTCTTTACAGCTTCTAGGATTACATTGCACTTAGATGCTGACTTATCGTATTTTGCAATCATTTTGTGAATAGCACTTTATAGTCTTAGAAGAGAGTGTAAAGTTTCTTATTGTAACAAAAAAAAAAACAAAAAAAAAACCGTTTACTGTTATGAAAATATTTTTTATGGAGGCAGTTTTCGCATTTTAGAAGCACATTTGTATTTTGCTTTCCTTTTTGTATTGTTAAAACGGCCTGTATGGAAAAATCTGACCTAAGAGCTTAATTATGTTCAGATTTGTAACAAGGACAATAGAGTTCACCCATTTTTTATTCTTTATCATTTTTCTTAAACCAAATTGGTTTATAAAGTTATTATCTTGTTATATATGTTTTCTATTGTTAATAAGTCAATTCTTTTAACTTTTTTTAATACATTTAAAATATAGACAGAAAGAACCAAATAACTTTAACTAGGTTTCAAGAACGATCAGGTCTTCGTCCCAGAGTCATTCGTCGAGTTCAATGACCAAATGTTGTTCTTCACACCCAAATGGGACCGCACAAGTAGATCCCTGCGGTTTACAACAAGAACAACAAATAACTTTAGTTAAAAGGAATTTTCCTAAACATTAATTCTAAACATTAAGAGGTATAAATACTCATTCTTTCACAGTTTTACGTTCAAAAAAGTTAGTCAAATAGATCTATAGAGAGATATAAATACTGGTGGGACAATATTTTCCAATACGTGAAAAATATCGTATTATAAAATTTTTTTCTAAAACAATATTTATAGGAAAGTTTTTTATTTTCTTTGCGAAAATAAGTATAAATTTTATTTAAAATTAAAGAAAATTCAAGGAATTGTTAATAATAATAGATACAAAACTTTTTCCCTAAAACTTTTCGAAAATAATAAGACAATCATATAGAAAAACGGAGAAAGTATAGTATAGTACTTGTCTTGATCGGGGCAATTAGAAGAAGAATAGCTATTAAATATAAGAATGGCTATTTCTTCCCAGAGATATAAATTAAAAATAATTACGCATTACCTACTCTTTACTGATTTTCTTTCAAATGATTTTTTTAAGAAATAGGTTTAAGGAAGTACATAAATTGAGAATTTTTTTTATTTATATATTTGCATTTAATCGAAACAATATATTGTTCCCCTTTAACACTAGAGGCCACTTTTTATTCAATGTAGAAGGATTTTAGAGTTCTTACATGCTTTCTCTTTTAATTTTTTTTTTGGGTTCTTCGATGTCACTTTGCTGTCGGTTTATTTTTATTTTTGAAAACATTTTTTGGCTTTCATTTCTCAATATTTTAGTTTTGTAATTAGTTGTTGAATTTAATATTTGTTATTTTATTTTTTTCTGTATTCAGATCCTTAGATTAGAAAAAGAATTTTTCCTCCAAAGATAAGAAAACTTTTTCATTTGTTTATGTTAAATTCCAGATTTTCAATTATATATAATTTTATATTTTAAAATTAATTGTTATTTTAAGAGCGACTTAAATAAAACCAAATAATAAAGACTTTCTTATTATTTAAAATATTTGAAGCTTGCTTTCTTTAAGTATCAATTTTGGTTTTAAGACATTTATATATTATCGTAATTATTTTTTCCTGTCTCTTACTTATTCTGATATTATCGTCACTGTTTTTGGCTATTGAACACCGAGATAAGTAATATGTCAACAACACTAATATTTAATTTACCAATGAATGTTCTTTGATTATTTGAATTGTCATTTGCTTTAGATATCCTGTCCGGTTTAGTTTTGCTTTAATTTTATTTTATTGTAAAGTGTGATTACTGTGTACTTCATTCATTTTCTTAAATATGTTTGATAGCTCTCTATCTCGCTTTGCGTCATAATTGCAATGCCGTCCATTTATTATTATCACTGTTAAGGGATGAGGCACTGCGACCGTTGGGTCTATTGGGTCTCTAAACCCTGTTGCGTTCATAAAAAGTAGTATAGAACCTACTTTACAGAGCTTAATTGCCTCTTCGGTAAGAATGTACATTTCCAGGAGTCTAATCCGTTCATGCATTACCACAGGACATTCTAAGAGCACATGTGTGGTCGACTCCTTATTCTCTTCGTACAATCTACTGTTTGCATCCGTATGTATACCCAGTTTCATAAGGTGGTATTTTAGTTTACAGTGCCCTGTTAGGATTCCTGTTATGATTCTAAGCTTTTCTTTTGATAGATTTATATACAATCCTGGTATCTCTTATTGTTATAGGTGATTTGGATTGTGCAATATCGTTTATATATACACAAATTTGTTAGGGGAATGAAATCCTATTAATCGGAGCAATTTATCGCCAGATGGCGATCTGTAAGCTACAACTTTGCTACTAAGAGAATATTTATTTCTTAGATATTTAAACTACAAATTATGAATATTTTTCGGGTACTATATATATGAGTATTGGAATTATATGCAATTATACATATCTTTTAAATTATGTTTGGAATTTTATACATTTTCGAAATAAGAGATACTTTTCTTAAGGTTATAGTTTACACATTAACAATTTTTTATACCATAACTAGTATGTAATTATTTATTAGAAAATTAATTATGTTGCCTTCTTTTCCAAACCGAAATTCCTTATACCATATTTGCTTCTCTATTTTTTCCCAGTTTTTGCAACCTTTACCATTAAATAATCAGTATAAGAATCCTGAATGAGTAATGTAGAAATCGCAGAGTAGCATTAGTTGGTTTTTTGCTTTCATGCTTTATTTCATTGCAACTCATGTTTGTTTCCATTATAAATTTTTAATTAAAGACATTCCGGGAATTGCTTCATAGCATGCTGGCGTTGCAGAAGCTACAGGATGACAATGCTCGTGCACTATTCGATATGTTATTGAATAATGTGTGCTATGTGCTCGAGTATCGGGAGACAATATTGCATCTGTTAATGAACTACAATGAGGCGCACAGCACAAAGTAAGTATCTGAAATTCTTCCACATATTCGTTTTGTTTCGTGCTTTGCAGCTTCCATTTTAACACTTCTCTTCCTTCACTTCACACATTTTTATGGAATTATTTACGACTAAATATCTTGTAATGAACGTGCGAGACTTTTCAAATATTTTCAAACAGTTTTTGTAAGTCATGTCCTGTGACATTAACAAGTCACAGAATTTTCACACAACGAAGGAAGTAAACAGTGTTCTGATGTTTGGCTTTTCTATTAAAATTGATTTAGATTTAGTGCACATGTTAAAAAAACTATTAAATTTAAAATTAAAATTTACAAAGAAAGACACATTAAAATTAAATTCACTGTCAGTTTAAATTAATTAGTCGCAAGATATTCCAATTTTTCAGAAAAACTTTTTCAATTTATTTCTAGACTGTAGAGTATGTTTTGGTGATAGTTAAAAAATTAATTTGTTGTAAAAAATATTTGTTAATTTATAAAAATAATTAATAATCATAAAAAAATTGAAAGAATCTAATATTGCTGTAACCCGCGAAAATCCTATATAGAAGTATATATAGTAATATACTACATATAATAGTAGTAGTAGTCCCGCTTGTGAACAATAATACATATTCCGAGAAGAATTGTGAGTGGTACTTAGTTATCTGTGACGAGTGAGATCAGCTGTTTTTTCAACTATAACTAACATTTTTAGTGAATCTATTCGCTATTTGAGATCTTTCATTGATATCCATGCTGAAAGGCATTTGGTATTTAATATAATCCCATTTAATATAATATTCGATCAATAACTATCATATAATATTAGTTGTATAGAAGTGGAGAATTAAAAATTTTTCTTCTTTATAAAAATTACTTCAAAACCCATTATTGCTCTCAAAAAATTATAATCAGAAGAAACCAACGTTTAAGATGGTTACGGATTCGATTATCTAAGTTTAAATAATGATATTACAGATCAGATGAATATCTTGAAAAACGACATTTGCCAAAAATCTATTCGTAAAAGTAGGAGATTATTTTAGTCTTTAGTCTCTTAGTCTTAGGAGAAAGGAGAACTAATTAGGAGAAAGAACTAAGCCAACAAAAACAAAATAAGATTTAATAGGCATGTAAAGTATCTATGTGGCCAACCATAACAAAGTGTTGTCCATGATACGTTTACTCATCTATATACCATAACTTCTGATGCAGTATCCTGGTTAAATGCATGAAATCACGATGGGGAGGCTAAATTTGCTTAATAGTGTAAGTCCGCTATTGGTTCTGTTTGAAAATATCAAAATAGAGTAAACTTATAATAAAAACAATTCATGATAATCTTTAAGTAGTGATCCGAGTTGTATAATAACTTTTAGATAAACATATATTTTTTTGGAAATTCCATTTACATACGACTTCACTATTTTGATGCATCTAATATGAGTATGCACAAAAAATTGCTTTGAAAGCAATCAAAACCTTGATATCATCGACATGTACGAAGAAATTGTGCCAAAAACGTTTGCTCTATTTTTGGGTGCAAAAATAGAAATAATAGAAGCATCAGTAGCAAATTTAATTTTCGTTTTGTGATGCAGCATTTGAATGTATCATTATTTTTTGATTATTTTGATAGATTTTAGTGGCTATTGCTGCATTAGATATTTGAGAATATAGTATATAGATTTTGTGTTTCTACACCTAGTTGTTCGTAATCCTTCTTCTCTATTATAGTCCATTCCATTCTCGTATAATGAATTAATTTATACTGTATAATGAAATCAACCTTCGTATAGATATCATATATGGATAGTATAGATATATATATATTGAAATAAGTGATAAATATACGCTCTTAATATAAGTTAAGCTAATAGATATTGAAACATTTAATTGGAGACAAAAGCTTATATCACAGAAAACACATAGTATATAGTAAACAGTAAAACAGAAAGTACATTACATAGTAAACAGTAAATGACAGATGTACATATGAAATTAAAAGAGATGTTAGAATTGTTGTTTCATTCATCGTATGGATATTTTGGCGTGAATTTGGCACCTCCATATCTGTTGTGCCAACTGCAGCTTGTGCAGAGGGATTTTCGAAGTTTACTCGATTACCCCATGGAGACAGATTTCCTTCGATATTTGAATCCATGCATAGACACCATAAGAAATTTAATAAACGTTTGATGAGTTCAAGGACTATATTTGACACGTTTATAATGCGATCCGTTTGTTACGAGTTCGACGCCTGCTACTAACAGCACCTAATCTGGTAAACAGACGTTAGGGATGTGGATTGCTTTTTGCTTCCGTATTCGCCTTCGACCTTACCGGCAAGGGAGGTTCTGCCAGTAGCTACGCTACCGTCGACTCCGCTTTCAGGATCATTATACATACTGAGCCTCTCCACCACGCCAAGATAGCAACCCCAGGAGAGGATGCTCCACGAGAAGAAGAGGACAACAGTAAGTAAGTAAGAAAGAATTATTGGGATACCTAACTGAAGACGAGCCCCTAAAAGTTGAAGAATTGGCGAACTATATTGACACATAAAGATAATCTGCAAATATCAATTAATAGATTTGTTTTCCATTTATTATACAATGGCATTTAATATAAATATTCTTCCGTATTTAACTTAATTTAACTGTGGCTACTTTATATAAAAAATTTTTACAAAATAAGGCCTAATATAATTAGCTTCATAAAGTGGTGTATTGCAGCAATAATTTTATAACTTTCCTTTTCTAGGGGTGAAATTCCTTTTGAAACCAATTTTAAATTAATTAAAATCAATTTATATAATTTCGTTAATATCCGTTATCTTGATTTATTAAATGAAGTAAAAAGTTAAAAACACTTAATGTTCTTCTATATTACAGAACACACTGTTTCCATGTAAATAACTTTACAAAAGTTGCTAACCTTAAAATTTATTTATAACAAACATGTTCCCAAAATAAATGGAATACTTTTGACCTTAATTAGCAATTAACTTTTCAGCAAAACTTATTTCATTGTTTTTTCTTGAATGCGCAATGTGGAGGAACAGGCTCCACCGGATTCTTTGTGGTCTGACTATTGTTTTACTTCTCATCGCCGCTGCCTCAATTTGCTTAAATGATTGATTATACATTTTCCAATGTTGAAAAATGAATGGTCGGAATTTCGCAAATGCCTCGCAAAATTTTTGTTCGGATCTCGGGACGGCATTGATTTTGGATATTTTGAACCCTGAATAATAAATAAAATTAATTGCCTGCCTGGGCGTATATTGAGGTTGGTTTCATATGGATTGATTTTCACAAAATCATGAATTTTGACAGCTTTTTCTTCGCCATTTTAGGGTTTTATAAATGTGCACAAATTAGGTCAAAATTTATTACAAAGCATTTCTTTGTTCCTGTTAAGTAAAAATAAAGAAAAAATAAAAACCCAAACAAAAATAGAATCCCAAACAAAAAAAAAAGAATTGATGCAGCTTTCTTAAGCTTGTCAATATCCTTCGCAAATTAATTATTTACTATTAATTTACTTTTTATGGACATAGATAATACGATTAGATCGATTTAACTCGATGAAGAGATATGAATAATACTCAGTTTTGCAAATATTCTTAGAAATATCTAATATCCTTAACTTAATATTAGTCAAGGATTAAACAAAAAGGATTTAAAATAAATTTATATTTTATAAAATCATATAATTATATTAATATACAATTATTAATACAATTATTTGAAAATGTATAACTTAATTAACTTAATTTCACTTTTTGGTAAGTTATTTTTACTTTGTATATATTTTTTGTGTATCTGCAGTCGCTTAGTAGTTGTAAACCACCAGTAAAATTATCGGTTGTCGGTTGATTTATCGGCAGCCGCCAAAATATTAGTTGTGGTGCTGCGGTTTGGTGGAGGGGAATCAACTGAGAGATGTGCATGAAACTACTCAATCAATTATTTGTTGCAGATACAGCACTTTGTGGGCCTTTTTTAGGGATATCGAGGTTAAATTTTTAAACCATTTTGAATAGTGTTTAGATGCAATATATATTCTACTAAATCAATATAATAGAAAATTCGTATATTCGTAGACCTATGTATTTGTTTTTAAAGTATATAATATTTGATGGTGCATAAATCCTTGAAGATATTTAATTAGTTTAATTTAATTGTTGATTTTATTTACAATATTCTCTTATTCTACAATATAGTAAATGAAAATAGTTATATTTTATATTACAATATTTTCTTTATTTTAAATGTTCACTATAAAGTATATAATAAGCTTTTATTTACTCAATTATGTAAATAATTAAAAAATTGTTTTGAATTTTGTAACTAAAGGTTACAAAGGTGTGTATGGATCAGGCAAAGATACTCGTAAGCAATAGGAAGCAATGTAATTAGAATTGCAATACTGACTGACAGCTAGGCAGCTATAATGGTCCTACCAGGTGACATCCAAACTGGTATAGGAGTGCATTGACAAGCTGAACATACTTGACTGAAACAATCAGGTGCACTTTATATGGTTCTCGGAGTATGCTGGTATTCAAGGCAATGAGGCGCGGCCTAGAACTTTTCTGCGGTCTAGGTGAAGAAACGCTATCCCTCATTTACAATAAATCTTTAAATTCGCAGTGTACTATCCCTTTTTCATTATATTAAAACTAAAGTTTCTTTTTTTTATCAACTTTTATTTAACACATTTTTTTTTTTTTGGTGGTGAGGAGGTGGAATGCTTTATGCACCGTCAAACCGACCGTCGTCGGAATGGTGTGCCCGACTCCCACCACTTTTTACCGCATTTTCTTGGTATCCACTCTATTTATTATATTTCTTATTCTAGTTATTTAACACATTAGGTTAGGTTACGTTAAAGGACATTTTTGTGTATCAAAGCACGCTTGCGAACAAATTATGGCCCGTGCGCCTAAAGGATCACGTTAAAGGAAGAAGTAGAAAGCACTTAGTGCACGAACAGCGTCTCTGTGAGACGACGGTACTTCCCCAGTCAAGTAAAGGAGAACTAACCTCTCTAATTTATGTTCCTATATTTTAAGTAAGACAGCTTCTTTAGACTAATCAGAAAAGGGACTCTGAAGGGTAGCTTAATATATATCGATAATATGACCGTCGATTTTGTAGATTGACACTTATGATTTCACACTTATAGTTTTTTTTATTAAAACTATCTTTTTTGTTTGAAATACATTTTAACCATTTTTAGTCTCACTCTTATACAAGAAGGTATCAGGTATTGAATTTTAGTAGACACAGCTACATCGATCAACTTTTTCTCCTACGATACAGTCAATATAACCTACTTTACGACATATCGGATTTTGAAGTTGAACATCTTTATTTTAAAAACACTCAAACAAGTAGTAGCGCCATCTGCCTTGTTGTTACTAGTCATTCGTGTAATCAACGTTACAATTGCATATGGTGGTTGCTGTTAGATGATATTTTATTATTTATTTTTATTTTTATAAACACGAAATGCTAATTAAATTTTTAATTCAAGACTAAATAAGATTGAAAATAAAAAATAAATAAATAAGAAAAAATAACAATAAATTAAAATAAAATAAAATAGTGCTGCCCAACTGCATTAAAAACCTAAAATATCAAAATGATTGTTAAAATGATTAGATTAATTAATAAAATATATCATTAATTCATACAAATATGCCGATATTTTGTATATATAAAAATTATTTTATAATGGATAAATAAAATGATTGATAGGAATGCGTTTTTAGATCCGTGAACTAATTTGAAACTAATGCAATATTTGATTTGTAACTTTTACAGCTGATATGTATGTTTATTGAATAAATAGCAACCGAAAAAGAAATTAAATAAATATTTATATTTGGATTAATCAAAAGGCATATTTAATTTATTTTTAACAAATATAAGCAACAAATTCAGTTCGTTAGTATATCATTTTTTGCTTTTAGATTTTTTATATATATATGTTGTTATTTACTTTAATACTCACATTCAATTACATATATCTTAAATATTTATATTCAATTTTATGAGTTTTAACTTAAAAATTATATACATATTTTGTGTTGAAATATGTATTTCAGTGAATTCATCAAATGCTATTTTTCAAAAATTTAATTCCGCTTGAAGTTGAAAAAATTTGATTCAATATTGAATTTTGCATTAAAAAATGCATTTTATGTCAAATGTATCTGTGAATGGTTTGTTGCATTAAATCAATTCTATGAAATTTGTCGTTTGTAAAATGAAAAAGTTAAAGATAATTTTTGTTATATTTTTTTTTAAATTTATATTTATCAAATTATATAAATTAAATTAATTTGATACAAGTAAATAATAATTTTTTACAACCGAAGTTGATTTATTTTGGTTTATTTCCAAGAGAATGTAAAGTCGTACCAGCCGATGATAGAAAAAATTATTACTAATATATAAATTACTAATTTTAAATTCGAAATAAGTTCTCTTAATTGGGACATTTCAACTAACTAAGCATACGTACAATTGGTAAAGATAGGCTTATATAGAACAGCGCTTTCTTTAATGGTATTGAGTTGATATGTTAAGCATGTCAACTGTTTCTTGAAGGAGATATTTGAATAAAAAAAACTAAATCAACTTTTTATGAATGTTGAAAGTTACAATTTGAATTAATCGAAAATAGAGAAATTCTTCTGTCAATAATCGATTACAATTTAAAATTGTATATAAATTTAAATACTTACGTTCCAACGAATGTTGTGGAAACTCTTATTCCTTGATAGCAAGGGCTACTTCTATTTATATATAGCTATGGGTTTTGCTATTTATATATAGCAGTGACTATTGCAATATATATATAGCAATGAGTATGGTTATTAACATATAGCAATGGATTCTGCTGTTGTCTCTTAATTTTTCCCACTTAATTTTGCTGTGAAACAAAATAAATCAGAAGACTGGGTTTAAATTTTTTTTCAAATAATTATTTAAGGACGTGTATATGTTTCTACGTTAAATCCACATCACAAACTTTATATATTAAACTGCAACCATTACACTCTAACTTGAATCCACTAAAACCAGCTCTTAGGAATGAAAATGTAAAATTGCACCCGCATGCAGCGGATACAACCCCATTCCAGTAATCAAGAGAGAGATTAGAGCAAGAGGCTTAACATAATAACTAGTGGACTAGGTTCATCTTAGCCAGAAAGCATGGGCGTAAAGTATGGAAATTGAGCGTTAGTGTTTCACTCTAACTCTTTTTACCATTCTGTACATATATAAAACGCAAAAATTTAAAAAAAAGTGCTATAAAAAACCAGTTTAATGGTACTTATATGTACAACATTGGCTGTTGCTATTTACATATATCAGTCACTATTTTATAACAGTGTGTAATGTTTTGTATATATGGCGCTGGTAACTGCTATATACAATAGATATAGCAGTGGTTACTGATATATTCATACACCAGTTGCAATTTTCCTAATAATAATCGCAACTGTTATAAAGATAAATTAAAATATTTTTTCGGACATTCATTTATTATCTATAAACTTTTCTTTAACTTTTCTTTGTTTTTTGTTTAGATTTAAAATAAAAAATTAGAAATTAGAAGACACAGTATATAAAAGATATTGAGGTGATATCACTTTAGTAATAAATTATTAATAATAATATCATATTTATTTTTATATTTTATTAATTTTGTTTTTAGAATTTTTTTTAATTTGATTTTTTGACTTCTGGCTCATTTAACTTTAATACTAAACTAATATTTTTTTCTTTCCTTTTGAACATTTTTTCTAGGGTGTTTCTTCGTGAAGTTATTGAGACGGCAAATATATTTATAAAGATGATGGAAAAGTTTTGTAAAGATACGGTTGTAGTGCAGGACAAAAAGAAAGCTAAAAGACGTATTCAAAAAAAGAATAATAAAAAAACTGTTGCGGAAATGGAGGTAAGTTGACTAAATTAATTATTAAATTATATATTAACAAAATATATTATATATGGATATATATAAAAAGTACCTACAGTGCTACAAAAAATTAATTTTACTTATGATTTTATATATAAAAACTATAAAATTTAGTTGATGTTTGGTTTACAAAAATTTTTTCTTCTGATTATATTTTTAATTTTCTTGTAATAATTAATTTCAACAAATTATAATAATATCATTTATTATTTTAAATTGTTATTATCCGTCTTCTTATTCCTAAGTTTGTTAATTAATCAGAGTAAATAATAATTGTAGCCTTGTGCTGAAGAATAATTTTATTATTATTATTATTTATATATAAATATTAGTTATACTAATAATATTAATATTATATCATTTATTATAATTTATTAATTAAAATTTATTATAATTGTTATTAATAAATTTATTATTAATATTAATAAATTTATTATATCATATTCTGAGATGTTATAAAAAACAATAAATTGAAAAAAATTGCACAATTTATTATAATAATTAAATAAAAATCTGCCAAACTCTACAATTGACCATTATTTTCGAAGAAACTTTTATTCCAGTCATATTCTCGTTGTATTATTGACCATTTTACTTTTCATATGAAGAATAACTGCAGCTTAAAAATTTTATTCTTTATGGTATTTTATCTAGACTAACATTGCAGGACAATATTTTTGTTTTAACTACCATATGTTTCAGTATTCCTTAGTGGTTGGCAATATCGTGGTTTATTTCCGCCTTAAAAACAACGTGATGCGAAATGAAAAGATTTATTTTATTAGCATATTTATATGGTAGCACTGTGTTACCATAAATCCTTTCCCATTTTGCTGTTCATATTCTAGTTGTCCTTTAAATTATTAAATGCTCGTGGATAAAAAAGTAATAGCAGAATACAATTGAGTCAAAATTATAGTTTTGATTCATATATCTAAAATATAATACACGATCAACTAGTGTCAAAAGTTTTTATATGATGACTGATAAAAAAATACTAGATATTTTATAAAGTAATACTCCAAGAAAGTATAAGTCTCGATGTGTCCTTTCTGTGGAAAACGAATTTCGTGAAGGTTGTCCAAAATCTTCTACTGATTATGTAAGCGTTGTATGATAAAATCCGAAATTGATGAGTATTCAAGTTTGATCGGGAAAATAATTGCTAATAAAATGGGCTTGAATATCATCTCTGTATCGCGTATATGTGGTAACTATCTTGGATACCTGAATAAATCAGCTCGATGGTTTTCTTGAATTTTTAGCTTAATTTTTTATTTTATAAATTTGAAAATTCGAATATATTGTAACAAGCAATGAAACTTGTTTCAACACCTACGATCCAGAAACAATGCATCAGTCAAAAGATACTAATCGATCCAATAAAGCTTAGTAACGGAAGTTAGTTACATAGATAAGAAGTTACATACATAAGTGTTGATCAGAATTTATAAAAAAATTAACATTTTTTTATTTTGTTTAACAAAGCCTTTAATAAAAAAAATTATATTATTAAAAAGCAAACAATATAAAACTATTCTAATTAAATCATTAAAAATCCATTTCCATTTTTTTTTTGATAATTTTTAAATTTTTTTACCAATCAATTTAATTACTAGTAAATAATATCACTTATTTATATTTTTTATATCTTCTTTCAGGATGAATTGGAGAATAATTGGGCAAAAATTAGTATTTCATTAGGTTTTAGTCTTAGTAATGAACTTACTATACCAGAAGAAGAGCAACCGATTCCGTTTGATGCAACATCCGAAAAAAGCATTGATGACCAAAAGTATTTAATACATTTTTCCAAAATAAAATTATTTAATTAATCGATAATGATTTCAGGGAAGATTGCATGATTAGAATAAATAAACTCCTACGTGAGGAAAAATTAGAGCATGCAATTGCATTGATGCGAGCTGGAAGGTAAGTTCAAATTATTTAAAATTCTAAAAAATTATTTTAAAATAAATCAATTATATTTGATTAATTTATTATAATTGTTTATATTAAACAAATATTTCAAAATATTTAATTAATTAATAATATTTTATATGTGTTAAATACAATTACTTGTTAATGTATCTATTTTATGTATATTGGAAGACTTCAGGACTTTGAGAAAATTAGCTAACTTTTATAAATATAAAAAATTTGCTACTTGAATAAATAAATAATTATATAAATAAACTCTATAACTTAATTTATATGAAAATAATTGAAAATGCTAATTTTAATTTTGTGCACAAGTCCTTGCACTGGAAAATTTACTCAACTCTTTTTCTTCTTATTCTTCTTCTTTATTTTTATTTGTTCTTAAATACAAAAGCTTTTCCTGTCATAAATTAAATTTTTTCGACGTTGTTTTACTTTTTGCGGTTCTATTATTTGTTTTTGGTGATGTGAGCCCCAGCAGAAAATAGATGTGTCAATATTTATAAAAAAAATAATAAAAAAAATAAATGCAATATTTTAATATGAGTAATTTATAACAATAATGCAATCAGCATAATTAAGATTTATAATTAAAAAAAAATTTTTTTAAATTTTTATTCTTAAAATTTAAATTGTTACTCTCTCCTATGGCATTTAAAAACAATTTTTGCAAATACAATTTATGTATTAGTCTGAATTCAAATGTTGTTGTAACCAGCTGGGACCTGCTTGTGAAGTCCTTCTGGGAGATGTCGAACGGCACTTGGTCGTTAATAGCGATGAGTGGATCCGAGACGTAGACTCGACCGTTCTTAGAACCTCTTAATTCAAATGCTTGACTTTAGTCCTTCGAAGCTAGCAATTCTATCAATTCTTTGAAAAAATTAGTTCAGAAGTAATGTGTTATAAAATAATATATATGATGGATCCCTCACCGTAACAACTCCTGCACAATTCGTCTGCTGGAATACTCCACTAAATAATAGTGAAGTATACTCCACTAAATAATAGTGAAGTATACTCCACTAAAGAGGAGGAATACTCTACTAAATAATAGTGTTGTTACGATGAGGAATCCATCAAACTCTCTTTATGTCTTTGTTTAACACCTTTTTTATTCGTTCTGAATGCGAAAACGAATTAGGATTAAGAAAAATTATATATAGTTTTTATTCACTTCAGTTTTTATTCACATTATGCAATCTAAATCAAATAAAAAAGAATGTACTAGTAATGATGGAAAATATATCAAGAAAAATATATGTAGGCAAAAAAAAGGTGAATTGAAATTTATGAACAACATAATAAACGTTCAGAATTGAAAAAAACAAAAAATAGAGCAAATAAAATAAAAATTTCATTGATTTTCATTGCTCAACTATTTGGACTAAAGTCCAATGTTTTATTTTATTTAATGAAAATTTGAGCTACTTAAGTGTGTTTGTAAATACTTAGACCGCTAAACTGATAAAAGGCAATAGACAAACTGACAATAGATAATCTAACAGTCAGATAATTACATGTAGATACATATAGACAAATAAATAGATGAATATCATAATATCAATTAATTTTGTTAATCATGAATACATGTGGGTTATATGGGAATCAACATCTCACTTACCTAGTTATAAATTGTTAGACAAATTTAATATACAATTTTTACATAAACATAAATTCTTGAAAATATTATAAATTTAAAATTAATCAATATTTTCCTTACAAATTTCCAGTTAGGATTTTCTGATGCTTTACTATAAAATTAGTTCAGTTCACTGCAAGACTGCACATTATGATCAATTGCTGGTAGAAAAGGAGGACGAAGTGTAAGCAGCAAAGTTGGCATTTTGCCTCTAAGAATATTAAATAATTTTTATTTATAGCAAAAGATAAAAATATATCTTACCTGTCTACTTCAAATGTTGCTATTCGAGGGGCTCGAGCTGAACTGCCATATACACATACTCATAGATATTCCGACCGTAAGGAGCTTTTGTTAAGCTGCTTCTACTCCTATCAGAAGTTTGACTATGTAACGAATAAAGTTAACTTACAGCTACCAACTTGAAGCTTTCTAAAAGTCCTTTATGCTTGATACTTCCTGTTTTTATCTATTTTGGTGCAACTGCAGTTGTATGACGCCGTGTAGCATAACAAAAGAATAAAATTTAAGATATTCCTTCATAAATTTTGTGGCAACGCATAATTTTTATGGTGCTGCTGCTATAGCAACTGCTCTGGGTGCTCCTTTGAACTAATATTATTTTTTAGTTAAAGGCGGTTTATTAGAAGATGTAGATGCAGAAAATCAAAAATGCAAACACATTTCTGCATACATGTTTTAGCATTTTTTAAGATGAATAATAATAGCTTTGTGTACTTTATACATATCTTAATTAAAAGAAAATGTGCAATAAAGTGAAAATTTATGCAAAGTCAGGTCAGAAGAAACGGTGGCATACAGGTGTTTATCACCAGCTTTATAAGTGATAACTTTCTTGAACATTATTCATATAGAAAATAAATAATATCTTTTGATTTAAGACGGTTAATCAAGATATGTATTTAGATACATATTTATTTATGTCAAAAGACTACCAAGGATAAAATTGTAATGGCTTTCAGTATAAAATAACTATTAAAACAAAAACAATGAAATATAATACTTATTTAAACAAGAATTTTAGAAAGAATTTTACTTTATAAATAACAAACTTCATCAATATAATCATCAATACTTGAAATCACTAACTCAAGGAACAAGACATGATAAGGCAGAACTTAGAAACAATGGCATCACACATTAAATAATTCATTTCTTCAGGTTTAGAAATACTAGTGGTAGTATTAATATACTCAACTACCAAAATTTTATCTGGTATTGTCTATTGTGTATTTTGCTATTATATTAAAAACAAGTATTAAAATAATTATTTATCCACAGGCTAGACGTATGTTTTTCCATGCCTAAAGTCAAAACTTTAGCTTAACTTAAAGATTAAGTGTATAATAGTCTCTCAGGAAGGTTTTAAGTTTACATATATTTTTCGGCTTTGCTTTCATTGTTCACAATGATTTATGAAAGTGAATGCACTTGTGAAAAAGTATATATATATATATTCTAATTTATTATTTACATTGTCTAGACTTTTTATTCACAAAAATGCAAAACGGTGAACATTTTCGCATTTTAACCAAAACATTTTCATTGTTGATAATTTTAAGTTTTAGTGGCTTTGCACCATCTGCGTTTTGGCTTGCTAAGCATACTGCGGATTAAATTCTCAAATCGAAACCTGAAAAGATAAATAAACTAAAAATGCGCTTATGTTGCACCGTAAATAATGTATATATATGTATGTATATGTATATATATGTATTAACATGAATTTGTTTTAGTTTTATGAAATTGAAATATAGATGAATTTTTTATTATGTTAGGCATGTATAAAAAAATGCAAAATGATTGCTTAATTTGCTTTTCATTTTAAATATCTGTAGCATTTTATATGAATATACAAAATTTAAAATATTTTGATAAATTTTAGAATGCAAGTATACAACTCTCATACCACTAAGTTTCAAGAATAACCATCAGGCAATGTCACTGGCACAATACACAAATGATTTTTATAACGTGGAAACCTTTAAATGATACGTATCAAAATTTTATGTTAATTGTATGACCATTACGTTACCGTTTGAGTAAGGTTAGTTCTAGTATTTGCAGATAAATGAAAGAAAAACAAGGTAACGTGTAAGTTAATAAATATTTTCCGTACAAGCAAAAATTCCGTGTAAACTAAGCAGCGGCTTAGTTTCCTTAATTTTGGTTTGCCGGTATCGGTAATATGTTGTTGGAAGTTCTATATCGGTAGTTTGTTCGGTTAATTCGAACAAATTCACTCGAATTCGATGATTACTGTAAAAAAATAGTTCACGGTATCATGTTGAATGACTAAATTCGGCGATTACTGCAAAAGACATCAACATAAAAATAGTCCAAATAGTCCATTCATCTTGACGATTGATAAATGAGCTTCTGCAAATAACTGATACCTGAAACATATATGTTGTATGTTTATTCCATTATTATTTGGTGGAGTATTCCTCCTCTTTAGTGGAGTATACTCCACTATTATTTGGTGGAGTATTCCAGCACACGAATTGTGCAGGAGTTGTCACGGTGAGGGATCCATCATATATATTATTTTATAACACACTACTTTTGAACTAATTTTTTCAAAGAATTGATAGAATTACTAGCTTCGAAGGACTAAAGTCAAGTATTTGAATTAAGAGGTTCTAAATATTGTACATATTTCTTAGATGTAAAAGATGTGTAAGAAACCGTCAGTTATCACAGTATTTTAACAATAATTACATGTTACAGTTAAAGCTTAAAAGTATTCGTGTAACATAACTATTAATTGATTGATCAATCTATCATTATTTTTGTGGTAAAAATGGTAAAAATAATTGAGTTGAATCGAAAGAACTCGCGGAAGAGATCATTAATACATCAATGTATTTTTTGGCCTATAAGATTGTGGTTAGCACATTTTAGGATGACTATGGTATAATATTTTGCTATGAAGTCACAGAATAAAATATTAATACTGTGCTAATATAATATTGTGCTAATAGTATCTTTAGATAATGAAATAACAAAAGAACTACTTCACGTGGTAAAGAAAAAAGAACTCATTTACCAAGGCAATGCATCTTGTCATAAGTTGTCAGTGACTATGTGAACAGATTGTATAAATTAAACTTAAAATTATATTCTCATCCAGTATATTCATCAGATTTGTCGCCAGTCCTATTATTCATTCTCGGATTTCAAAAGGAAACCTCGGGAAAGATATTTAACTTTAACAATAAAGTTATACAGATAAAACATTCTACAAAAAGCGTAGAAACGTTAGAGAAGTTCCAGAAAAATAAATTTTACATAAATAATAAAATTATATATGAATGAAACTAGAGTA